GTTTATAATAGCTAGAGTAAGTTACTAATAGGTAGTAGTAAAAAGATATATAAGCGTATATTAAGGCTTATTATAACTCTCTCTAAGTTAAATAGAACTAATTTAGCGTCTCTAAACCTTTCTTAGATATTACTAGAAGTAATTATAGTATTAAAAGCGCGCTTAAAGTATACTAAAAACTTAAGTTTTATAATATAGCTAATCTAGTTATATATTAGCTTCTTAGCTTAGTAGCTATACGCCTTTTTTAATAGCCTAAAATAATCTATATTAAGTAGCTATAGTAGGTAAGATAAGTATAGAGGTATATATAGAGTAATAATCTTTCTCTCTTTATAGTATTACTTAAACTAAAGAGTGTTATAGCTCTTATATCTATTAATAATAAGTAGCTAGTACTATTCTATAGTATACTTCTCTATATAAGTATTAAAGTACTCTAACTACTAGAAACTAATCTTATTTATAGTCTAACTATTCTTAGAGACTAAGATTAACTAATTCTAAGAAATAGCGTTCTCTTTATACTAGATAGAGAAGTAATAGTACTCTTTAAAGATAATATAGAGTAGAATAGCTTATTTTATTATATTAATACTCTAAATAACTATAGTCTACTCGCAATTACTTAGCTAGATAAACTTTAGTTATTCTTACTTCTCTAAAGCTATAATAATAGCTTTAGTTAATATTATACTTATTAGAAAGCTAGTCTTATTAAAGTTATAAGTATTCTTATTCTAGATACTATACTTAGCTTTTATATTAGCTACTAGCTAGAACTAGACTTAGATAGCTATAGAGTCTTTATAGAAGGCTCTCTTATAGTTATACTTATAATTAAACTTTACTTAGAGCTCTAGTTAGCGCTTAATAAACGTACTAGGCTATTTTAGACTAATCTAGGCTAGATTACGCTTAGCGCGTAAAGAATTAGCTATATTAGCTATATTTATAAGATAAGAGAAGAATTCTTACTTAACTAGGTTAAGTATATACTAAATAATTACTCTCTTTTTAGTCTTATATAAACTTATTATTATTAGCCTATAATCTACTTATAAGAGTTATCTAGCGTATTAATAGCGTAGAGTTATATAAGAGATATTATAGGTAGCTATAGCGCGTTATAATAAGAAAGTTATATTTTATTTAATAGTCTAAAGCGTAGTCTATATTTTAGCTTTCTTTAGTAGTTCTATTTAGTATAGTTAATTATATATTATAGAGTAGAGGTAGTTTTAGTAAGGTCTTAGCATAGGTAGACTGCAAAGCATACTAGACCGCGAAGTATATATCTATGTTAGCTCTAATTAATATTAATAATAAGCTTAGAGTAGTAGAAGAACTTATATATATTAGTAGTAAGTTCTTTAATAGTAAGACTAGTAGAAAGAATTAATAGTCTTACTCTAGGTAAATATATCTATAAGATAGTAGTAATAAAAGCTTTAGAAGCTTTAATAGTGTTAGTAAAGTAGCCTTTTATATATTTTAGAACGCTTTTTCTAGCGCTTAAAATATAAGATATTATATTATAGATAATATCTTATTCTATAGCTACTAGAATAGCTTTTAGGATAGCTTCTCTAATAGTCTCTCTTCTAGTAAATATAGAGTAGCTTATAGTAGCTTTATAATAGTAACGTAATTTAAAGAAAAGTAATTAAATAATAATAAAATAATTTAGTTAAGTATTAGTAAGATAGCGTAATATAACTAGTAATAAAATTAGTTTTAGACTTATAATTACCTTAAAGACTTATAAAAGAGTTATTTTAATAGTATAGCTTAAAGTATTAGCTTTAAGTTACTATTAGTATTTTTAATATATTTTTAGAGTTCTAAAAGTTATAAAAATATAAAGAATAGAAGAAGCGCGCTTTTACTAAAAGAGATTTTAGTATATATATTCTAACTATAAAGCTTTAGAATATATTACTTTATTATTTATAAGCTAATAAGTATATATAATTATATTATAATCTTTCTATAAAGTATTTAGTAATAATAAAATAGCTTCTTAGCTAGCTTAAAAGATTTAGAAGCTTTAACTACTTTAGAAGTAGTAGCGCTAGAGCTCTAAGCCTTAGCCTAACGCTATATCTCTAAAAGTAGATAAAACCTTTAGTTATACGTTCTTTAGAGTACTAGTAATAGTTCTTACCTCTTTAAGACTAGTAGCTCTATAAGCTATAAGTATTACTACTTAAGATTTAGATTTCTGCTTTATAATAGTATCTATAACTATTTAGTACTTTAATATTTATTACTATAACTTAAAGTAGTAACTTAATATAAGTATACTATTATTCTACTACTATAATACTTTTATACTATAAAGTTTTATAATAAAGCTAGTTTTTATAGCTAATGAAAGAGTATCTTTAATTAGCTAAGCTAAGCTTTTATTCTTATCTTGTCTATTCTAAGCTAAATATTCTACTTATAGACTACTAAACTATTTGCTTTAAGAGTAAATTAAACAAAGAAATCTATTAAGAATAAGCTTTAGTAAAACACTAGATATAGGTAGAGAGAGCGTTGCAGGTAGCTGTAGAATCTCGCACGTGGGTAACACGAGTGGGGTTCGTCCGGTGTCGATCCAGACCGCACGCTAAATGCAGACGCTAAGTAGCTCAGAACACCACTCTGCTGGTTCTGACCTATGTTCCTGCATATCGCGATTCCCATAATATCGCAATCCGATCATGTCGAAAAAGGTAAGCTACGGATAGCAGATGTGCTGTCGCTGAAATGCACGCTAAGCCACACGCAGGGAAGCGACACGCCTTCTTCCATTCGGATCCGCGAGAATCAGCGGCGCTCGCGTAATCAGCGGAAAGAGCTCATCCAGGACCTGCAGCGACGCGTGCAGGAATATGAAGCCAAAGGCATTGCCGCTACCCAAGAGATGCAACGCGCAGCCCGCAAGGTGGCAGAGGAAAATGTACGACTGAAGAGCCTGTTGGCCAGTCGTGGCGTATCGCACGAGGAAGTGGACGCGTATCTACGATCCTTTGATGCGCCAAGCGCCTCAAGTCCATCCGCTGCCGCGCTGTATGCTCAACCAGCGATGCGACCCTCGGTCTCACTCACTCCGGTGCAAAGCCCTGTCAGATACGCGACGTATCCTGTCTCTCAGCCTGTTGTACGGTCTCCGGCGCAAGTTCCTGAGCCAGCCCCTGCACAGACCCCAATCCAGCAGCGGCCGCACCCACCAATTCAACATCATGCACAGTCTTTGCCAGATACCCACCGTGTTCGTCAGTCTGTGGCAGGAGCCATTCGAGACGCAGCATGCGTGCCTGAGAGAGCAAATAACACGACCGATTCGCCGTCTACTGCTGCTCATGGGCCTGTTGCAATGGAAAACCAGGAGAGGCCATCTTGCTGTAAACCACCCGAGACACAAGGAGCCTTCGATTCTCGGATGACAGAATGCTCGATGACCGATCCAAGCGTAGCATCGTCCCGCAGCGTCGTAGAAGACGATGATTGTCCTAACACTACGAGTTGCTTTTGTCCACCCACATCTGCGCCTCAAGGGAAGTCGCTCGACAATGGTTTGCTAATATCATGCGAGACCGCTGCCACTATCATATCGGAAATGCGTGGCGACGGTGATAGACATCGGATACGGGCCAGTCTGGGCTGTCAAGGAGACCAGGAATGTAGTGTCAAGAATACCCTTGTTCTGGAGCTCATGGATGAGAGGTAGCTTGAACCGATACAAAAGATCGTAGTCTTGGTCTTCCTCTTGTGCAACGTCTACTCACACGCGCAAGCAACTTCCTTTTGAGGCTGACAAATGACGTCACGCCGCGTGGCAGCCCGTCTCAACATCGTTACCCCATAATCTTTCAACACTCGCAGCCTCGACAGCCTCCACTTACTGGAACTCTTGACAATGGCGCACAAGAATGTCAATGCGAAAGTGCTTTACTCCTATCCCGTCGCGTCATCAGGTGCTGACAGCCTTCCAAGTCTACAAACGCCGAGCGGGTGCGCAACAATCAGCGTCGCAGTCGCGCTCGGCGCAAAGCATACGTTGCCGAACTTGAAACGAAGCTCCGCGAATCTGAAAACGGATGTAGTCAAGACCCTACGACAGCAGAGCTCGCGAGAGCTACCCAGGAGGTTCAATCGCTCAAAAAGCTGTTGTATACGTTAGGGCTTGACGAAGCATTCCTCGAGGCTTTCTCGAGAGCCCAGCATCTCGCAACACAGTTATCAAGCAACCTAGAGAGCATCACCCACATCGGAAGTACGCCTGAAACATCTTTTCAACATATTAAATCTCTATCGATCAGCGAGGTAGGCTCATACATCGCAAATGCCACCATAATTTGACGAGGCTAGTTGGACACAAGCTCTATTGTCCCCTGCCAAAAGCAAGCACATGAGCTTTATTCACCATTCGGCGCGGAGATAGACATACAAAATGCGAATATGCAACTGAACCTAGTAGATTCGTATGCGATCGACGCGTCGCCACCATGGGAATCGCATGATATGCCTGCTATCATGACTCCTCTAGCACACACCAATGGAGGTCTAAGTTTATTGAGCCCGATTCAGGAAAACTCGACTGACTTTTCGCCAGCATCGAACGGACTACCAGCGCAACTTTCAGGTTCGACGACGCTTTGTACAACCGCTTTCTCCCTCGTGCTTGCACAAAACCCCGACGGCCACAGCTCAGAATATCTGGACAAGAAGCTAAGGGCGGGCTACCGATTCAGCACGTCTCCGTTGGAAGGTTGTCGCATACAAAATCATGTCTTGTTGGAGGTTCTTGCAGAGATTGCATGAGCGTTGATCTAAGCATGCATGCTATCGGTCGAGGGCATTTTGGCGACGTTTCACCCTCCGTAGCTGAAACATGAATCCACTAGCCACTACATATGAAAGACCTGCAAAGATCTGAGTATAAAGATACTCACGGGAGGATGAAGACCGTCTGAGCTTGAGTGCGATTCCCTCGGAAACTGCTTCAGTTAGTTAAGGCTCCTCTCGACCTTAAGAACGAGGCGCATACCTGTTGCTGGGATGATGACTGCTGCCCAGGATAGGGAGAGCAACGACTGCAGGTTCTTGATGCCTGCGACTTCGACGCAAAGCGGGCCAATGGTCTGGTTGGGGTAAGTGGTCAGTGGAGCTGTTTGAAGTTCATCTCGGTTGCGATCTCCACTTACCATCCAGAATACACCAACGATCGCGCCGCAGAGGATGGCAAAGAATACCGTTAGTGCGTAGGACGTAGCAGGCAGCCAGAATGCAAAGCATGAGACACCGCACAGCAAGGTCAATGCTCCTGCCGTATCTATCCTGCTCCATCGATCACTCAGTATTCCGATGATTGGACGCCCGACCGCAGTTCCGACATTCAGGAGACCGATTATATCTGTAGCTTGGGACCGCGAGAGGCTTATTGATAGTGCGAAATCGGAGAGTGAGAAGAGGAGGACGATGTAACCCAGCATGCTAATGAAGACCCACGCAAGCAGCAATATTACTTCGTAGCGGCGCAGAAGTTTGGTATCGAAGCCTAGTTGGGATGGCCGAATGGCCTTGTTCCTGTCGCGTATGAAGACCGTCGCCGTGAGATTGGCTACGAAGGCGATGATGCCCGTGATGCGCAGCGCCCAACTAATGCTGAATCTTTGGATGATGGCCTCGGTGCCCCAAGTGAAAGCTGCGCCGCCGACACCAGATCCTGCTGCACTAATACCGTTGGCCAGGCTTCGTTTCCGATCAAACCATTGCGACAGGACTGGAAGGCAGGGAATGTATAAGAAGCCAATTCCGCAACCGATTAGAACGCCCTGCGAGAGGTGAAGCTGCCAAATTCGAGTTGCGAATGAGGCAGCGATGAAGCCGCCGAGCTGCAAGACCAGGCCGCAGCACATGACAACATGGGTTCCGAATTTGCGACAGAAGACTGTCACGAAGGGTGCCACGAGCATGGCAATGGCAAAGTTGAAGCCGCCGATAAACGCATAATCCCAGGTAGAGGCTTCGGGGAAGATGTCGTCGGCTAGGTAGTGCGATAGATAGATGCCATAGGCCTGAAGGTTGTCAACATGATGCACGGTGGAGAGGAAGTATCTTCCGAATAAGCGACCTTGACTCACTGATACGGTACCCCATGTAAAGCAATTGATAGTAAAGCACGCTGCTACACAGACCCAGCCGTAGCCGCCATCGGGGGGCGTATGCTCTGCATTGGTAGTGTGCTCTCCTACGATTAACTCATTGAGCGTCAGTGGCGGTGACACCTCGCTGTGCAGTCCGGGGCTGCTGTGTTGTTTCATCATCATTGCGGCAATCGACTAGGAGCATGGTACCTTGTGCTCCAGCCGACGCCACTATATATGCGCGTAGGAGATATGTCACTTGCATTTGCGGGGTGTCACCACTCACGGATGATCGACAGCACTAGTCCAGAATCGGTTGAGAGCTCTTGATACGTTGAGAACCTGCGCTATACTACCACACTGTATGCCATACTCCTCTTCTTGGAGCAATGCTATTTTTCTATCCAAATGAGGTTCGGATCAATTCGAAGGCCCCGCGTTGGTTGACAAGGCCGCATGCTGCGTGTCTGGGGCAGGCTTATTAGCTTCCTTTGCTTGTTTCGCCCGCTTCTCTTCTCTCTCACTGAACCTGTCGCCGAAGAGATCGAAATGAGGGCGCATCACAATGGTGTATTTGACGAACTCCTCCATGCAGTCGACAAGTCGATCCCTGTTTCCGCTAGGCATCAGCCTGCTGCCGGCATCCTCCTCTGTGAACTGCTTATATGCCATGGGTATGGAGCTCTGGTTCGGTATGACGAACATGCGCATCCATCGACCAAGTATTCGCAGGGCGTTGACCGTGTTGAAGGACTGCGAACCGCCGTTCACTTGTGCGATTCCGAGGGTACGGCCCTGGGTCGGACGAACAGAGCCGGTGGAGAGTGGTATCCAATCGATCTGGTTCTTGAAAACGGCCGTCTGAAAGAAGAAGTCTATCAGTATGAGATTCACCAAGCATGTGGAGTTTCAGGACGTCAACTTACGAGAGTCCCATGCTGCTCAGGACATATCCATATATGCCCATCGCTCCACTTACTCAGTTCGCGTAACTCTTGCACTTTGGGATGTGTGTGTTGTACATCGTCCTTGACAGGTAGGCCAGTGGGGTCGTACATGCGAACGTCGCAGCCAAGGCGGAAAAGTATTCGACTCGCCTCGTACGACAGCAAGCGCGAGTAAGATCTGCCCTGTGTCAGTGTTTTTCCCTGACAGCACCCATGAGACATCTTGCTGACAAATTCGTACCTTGATCGCATGCTTCCGTGCAGGACTACCACCTTAAGCCTCTCATCTCCGCGTTGGAGCAATTGTGTGTCCACCATCTTCAGTGCAGTGCTGAGTTCTAATTGAGCCACCCAATCGTCCTCAGCATCTTTCCCCTCAAGTATGAATGGCCGGTAAGCCTTTCGAATTTCCACATCGTCTTCAGAAGGTGGTATCGCCAATGAGCGACCTTGATACGCGGGATCAATGTCGAGTTCAGTTCGTGCACGTTCGGCCGAGGTATTGTTCAGATCTCCGTTCGGTATCGTCGCCATTGTACGTGCGAATGAAAGGGAGGTGCGCAGAGGTCTGGAGGTGATGGTGCTGCGAACACCGATGCTGAGGATTGAGCGGTAGATTTTCATGAGCTAGCGCAGGCGGATGCGTACGAAGTGCGTCGAGATGTGAAAGTGAAATCGTATCGAGCTGCTACCAAACAGGCATTACGTTCCTGCAAAGGTAACTTCGGAATACCGTTTATAGACGCGCAGGTAGCGGCGACACAAGAGTGCCTGGGAAAACACGTCATGTTTAGCAGGCATGTCACTCCACACGTCCGATTCGTCGAGATTTCGCGGACCCTGCGTCCCAACCCCGGAGCCTCACTTGGAATGCGATGGCTTCCAAATACTGTCCAAATTTCATGCGTGATGTACCTTAGCATTTGCATGGTTCAGGTCCGCACCGCTCGCTCCCATCAGCGACCATGCACTCCACTCAGTCGTCGGGAATTGTAGTTTGTCAGTTATCCGGTGATAGTGGACGCATATTCAAAAGCATTGCATGGATACTGTGCTGGAGTTGAAAACTATGGTCATGGACATGAAGGAGACGGTGTTGGTGTGCTTACACCTGGTGGGAGGTGCTGTAGTAGGGATAACGGTCGAGCACGTGGAGAGGTAGCCGGAATGCTTGGCGACGTTTTCGCTCCCGGACCCCTGCAAACGTCGTCATGTTGAAAGTCGTGACTGGGCGCCTCACCAACCTTGTAACCCACCACAACTGAGCAGCAACATGGAGTACGACACTTTCTCAGCACGTGAGTATATGCGCGCCTATACAAGCTGATCCATGACTAATCAGCACCAGCGCAGTACAGCACCAACGACGCGACGTCGTTTGCCCACACTTCGGCGCGCTCGCGATGGCCCATCATCATCACCCAAGGCATTGACGACGTGCACCGCTCCCTGCACGACACCAAAGACGAGACGGCCATCACAGAAGGCAAACAGGTCGTCGCAGAACTCGCCAAGCTGAAGTACGAGCTGCAGCACGACCGCGAGCTCACGCCGATTCCCGATGATGGCGAGCGCGACGTCGAGGCATACAACAAGGAATTGGCAGCAAGAGGCAATCCCAAGTGGCACAACGTGTCTTGGCTGTACGCCGAGTGCTATCTGTACAGGTATGTAGACCTGAGTCGCTCAATGGTGCGTGCTAATGGCCATAGGCAGACGTATCGCAAGCATCTTTAAGCAGACCACCAAATGGCGCTCGTACGACATCTTCGCTCGCCAGAAGATGGAAACCTTCAAATCCTCTCGCCCCGCCGTCATCGAACTCGCCGCACGCTACAAAGACATTGTCACCGAGCTCGAACAGAAGAAGACAATCAAGGGTGCAGAGTCGCAGGAGCAGCTCGAGGCTGCAGAGAAGGTTCTGTTCACCGAGATGTGCGAGATCTGTCTCTGGGGCAATGCGACGGATCTGTCCTTGTTGACAAACCTGTCATACGAGGATATCCAGAAGTTGCAGGGCTCTGAGGCGCGCAAGAACTCCGAGAAGAACATCCTGGTCAACGACCTAGACAAGGCGTTCGAGGTTCTCACGCGGGCTCAGAAGGAGGGCAAGAAGGAACGTCGCGTTGACATTGTGCTTGACAACGCTGGCTTCGAGCTCTTCGTCGACCTTATTCTCGCTGGATATCTCATCGCTTCTGGCCTAGCGACGAACGTCGTGTTCCACCCCAAGAACATTCCATGGTTCGTTTCAGACGTTCTGCCAGCCGATTTCGGTGCACTCCTCATGGCACTAGCCGACCCACAGAGCTTCTACAGCGCGCTATCGGAAGACGAGAAGCACGCTGGCAAGCAGTCCGTACCGCTGTCTGAGACAGAGAGCGCGAATCTGCAATTCCTCTTCCAGCATTGGAGTGGTCTCCACGCAGAAGGCCAATTGATGATGCGACCAAACGACTTCTGGACTGCAGGCGGCAGCTACTGGCGACTTCCCAAGAGCGAGCCGGACTTGTACGAGGATCTCAAGGAGAGCGAACTCGTCATCTTCAAGGGCGATCTCAACTATCGCAAGTTGACCGCTGATGTAAGTGCCCTCTTCTACATTCGTCCCTCGCATTACTGACCATTACTAGGCTGCTTGGTCTCCTACCACACCATTCACCGAAGCCATTGGACCAATGGGCCCTGGCTCAGGTCTACGAGTCCTCGCGCTCCGCACGTGCAAAGCCGACGTCGTCGTCGGATTAAAGGACGGAGAAGACGAGCGCATAAAAGCATCAGAGGGGGGCGGCGGAGACAGTGGGGCGAGAAACTGGGCTTGGAGTGGCAAGTGGGCTGTTGTCCAATTTTCGGACGGAAAGGCCTAGTCGACCAAGCACACCTGAAGTTATGGACATGTTTGAGCGTGGATAGACTATAGACATTAAACTTAGATATGACAGAAGAAAATTAAGTACATGACATGATTGAGCGCCGGGCTCTGTCGGCCCCAGGCCGCGATGAACTTTTTAGTAGACGCCTCTCCTGATGTCGGAGGCGATCTGTTGAAGCTCCTCAACCGTCGGTGGTTGCTTGTTGCCCTTCAACAGTTTGATCTTGGAAAGGCTCTCCATCTCTTTGATCTTCCTTGCGACGAGGCCATTTTTAGCAGGCCGTGTTTTCGGAATACCTCGTTGCTGAAGGTGCCCCTCTAAGCTGGGTCTGCCGCTGGTTGGTTGCTGGGCAGGGCGTGCCCTATCTCTATGGAGTACATCTGCACGTGCAGTAGGCTGGTCGTGCGTCTGTCTGGGCTGTTCACGAGGTCGTGATACTTCTGCTTTCGTCGCTGAATGTCCTAGAGCCCTCAGATCTGTTAAAAGTCAGTGTTGGGTCGAGGTGATGGGAGTAGACTGCGACATACCATGCAGGAGTTTGTGACCATCTGGCTCACTTCCTCGCCATTGTCCATTGTCACGCTTAGCCCACAGCCTCCTCATCGCGTCAAGCTCAAGATGATACTCTAGAGCTCCGGAGACTGGAATGCTACTGCATATTGCTACCATGTCCAGCGTTTGGCTGTGCACTTCGGCGTCTGTATTAGCCTTCACGAGTACAACCTCTAGCGTGCTTAAGGGTTCTCTCGGTTGGGGTGGAGGTGAGTCTCCGCGGCAAACAAACTCCAATGAGTCAGGACGCTTCGCAGATCGGAAGCTGAGCTTGCGACGGAGGATCTTCGGCCCCGCTGGACTTGCCGAGCGACTGCGTTCTGTTGGTTGAGTTGGGGTACTGTCCTGACCAGTAATGAGGGTTGTCACTGTGCGTAGAGAATCGATCACGATGGAAGTGTCTTCCTGTGCATCCTTCTTCCTCTTAGTTGCGCTGCGTACAACTGTAGCTTCTGCGCTAGGGACTGGGAGCTGGATACGGATGTTCGCAGCACGGGAGAGTGCCGACTTGACCATGTGAGGTGGCGTACTGCTCGTCCAGCATCCCCAGTACTTGCCAATGTCCTTCTCGGCACCGACGCTGGCACCACCGATGTCAGACAGATCAATGAGAAAGAGGCTGTCGCGATAGAGGATGTCTAGTCCGAGCTCGCGGGCTTGCTTAGACACCATCAGTGCCGGATGCATCATGAAAGATCGGATGTCGATGGTGCTCGGGCCATGGCGGTGCCGGCGTCGTGGCTGGGGTGTGATACGCGACTGGTATGGTGTGATGGAGACCGCGCGTTCTTCAGCGAAAACGTATGACAAT